CCGCTCTATGTTAATCCCAATGAGGGGTGTTACCTTCGATGGCGAAGGGGGGCCCTTAAAAACTGGCTCAACAAATTCTTCGACACCACAACGGCCGATTTTCGGCGAATCGCCATCAACAAATTGGTCGAGAGATGGGAGGAGGTCGTGAACAGTAACGGGGGATACATCATTGGTTAATTTATTATTATAATTATTGTTTTTGGTTCAAATAAATCTTTGTGAAAAAACTCTACGAACTTATGTTACAACCCAATATCTAAGCTTCTTTGAAGGTCACTCGTACAGAATCCACTACAGAGCTCTGAGAAACTCTTACTTCAGATGGGAATGTCCGAAGAATTCGTGATATCGTTCCTACGGATGATGATTGTAAACCAGATCCGGATCGCCCAGTTCAACTTTGGAATATGTCACTTCTCATGCGATCCGGACACATTTTGTCGACTCATGGAAGTTGTTCATTTGAAAGAACTGTGTATTATGAGCAGTACAGAGGATGATGAACAGTTTTCTGCTCGGCTGGTGGCTTCCCCGACAGCAAATAAGGTACCATTTGTTCCTTTGACCGATGGATTTCTTCAGGACTTTCACTGATCCCTCTTCAGCTAAACCGGCTTGCCGTCGGATTTCCATCGAGGATCTCCGATGATTACTTACTATCATCGCATCACAGTTGGTTGGCAGTGAAGGATACCACCGTCAGTGCTTCGGCTATCCGAGCATTCATATTAGACTGGATCCAGGGACGGAGATCATTCGATTACATGGGACTGAGTACAAGTTGCCGTCTGGAAGCCGAAACAATATTGGAAAACTTGGAATTTCGCCAAGTGGACAGTTATACCGTAATGTTATGTAGTAAGCATGGTGAAAAAATGGCGTTAACTATTGAAGAGAATTCGTTTGTGATGTATAATAGGAATGCTGAGAGAATTATGTGCGAAATAGAGGGTTAAAAACCGTTTAGAGTTATGCTAGAGGTTGAGCACAACCTCGGCGGGTATAAGCGACAGAAGGACTCTAAAATGCTTGTCTCACTGGTAACAGGGGCCTTTGAACTACCGATTCACCTGGCTTTGATGTAAAGCCCGCGTAGGAAGTTCAAATCCTCCTGTTACCGTATCTGTCATAGCTACAGTAACCATCAAGAACAATAAGGTGTCCCGAAGCGATTTTTGTTCGTGAAAACACGACTTTTACCTTTGGCTGGGATCAAATTGAATCTCTTAAACTGCTCTCACTAATCCGCCTTTCCCAACAGCCTCTGTTCTCAATAACTATCCCTGTCGGGCATAATCGATACCTATCTTTTGCATGCGAAAGCGACTCCAGGTTCGCAAGAGTGCCCTTCTAATCGACCTATTGAGAAGTGCCGTTACTGTAGCCGCATTTGTGTGAAATACGGATATTGTTTGATACTTTTCTCTTGCATGTACTTATATGGTATATATTTTCTGCCTTGTTTTATGCATGTTTACTTGCATGTTTTTGTTATGTTTACAGAGTACTAATATACATATATATGTCCAATATCATGTCAAAGAAGGTTGTTTTTATGGTTGTAAGATTTTTTTGTTAATTCTGTATAAATTATTTTTTCGGATGTTAAAGGTACTAGATGGTTGCCACAAGTTTTTAATCTCTGAAAATTTTTGAATTTTAAATAGGTAAGGATTGTTCTTAAAAAACTTTTCGAAGCATGAGGTATAGAGTTCCCACCATTAACTTTGCATTTAATTTGACAGTTTTTCTTGATTAGAGGAATATGTCTGGGCTGCATACTGGTCGCAAAACTACAAATGGGTTTTCAGTCCTAACTTCGTTTTTTTTTTCTCCAAATTTCTCTCAGTGTGATCTTAGATTTCTTCTTCTACTTCTTAGCCACACGATCGGCTCTCCATCCGTTCTTGCGTAGGCAATACCTTGCCTGAGGTTCAAGTGGTGGCGAAGATAAGAGACGTCTGTAACAGCGCTTGTTGCGAATTAAATTTGTCAGAAAGGAAGAGTCCTCGAATAAGAACGCTTCTTGAGAGCCATTTCTAAGTTTTGCGGGTGTAACGGAATTTTCCTTTGATCAGATCCATTTATGATGAGCGCTGAATTCGCATTGGGTTCGGTTTAGGAAGTGTTTCCAATTTGGCCTCAACAATGATTTGCTGAGTGTGTTACCATCGATGCTATGCAATTCTACGATGACACCTGGAGTGGTTCTCCTGGACCCTTATTGATCCGGGATTTGTTTCTCAAACCATACGTATGCTAGGCACGGTACCATCAGGCACGATCCCATCGTCGTTTTGGCTCTGAGGGCAGTGACGTGGGAAGATCCTCCCTGCTGAGGCTTCATGGCTAACGTTTCGCACTTATACGTGAGGATAAAGTTTGAATTGTTTGGCATTGATCACGTTTGTAGGATGCGCCACCGCATTCGATTACCATTCAGAATCGTAGTGGCGGTCTGAATGCATACGTACAGTGACTTGCGGCGGCCAGCCAACGTAGAAGTCAGTGCTTTTATTCTCCCAGACGAGTTTGGTGCAAAAAAACCCTACCCAAAGGGGATGTAAGACTATGTTGGCTTAGGCGAGTATCGATGTGGGGCGAACTAGGACCACGCGTGTGTGTGAGAGAGTGCGCTACTTGTCACTACACCTCTGCCTATATTTGTTGGTCCATTTTTATATAAACCAGTGGGGTCGCCCGGCTCACGCCGGGCCCCATTCCTTACTTTTACCAAGTAGTCAGAAAACGTAGTTAGAAGGGGGACATAGTTTTTAGTCAGCACGGAGGGCTAGAGTGCATAGGAAGGGCAGGTGACCTGACCTATACTTATAAACGGTTCTAGACGAAAGAATATGGTTTCAAGCTCAGCGGCAGGAAGGAGGGTGCGGCGGGGNAGGGATGAGAAGATTACTTCGTGCAAAAAGCTAGGATGGGGTATGAGTTGAACATTCAACTGACTTACCCACTTCGGTACCCCTTCCCTCTTGAAGAAAAGGTCAAAAACTGCATGTTCTCGGCTGAGAAACGTTAATGTGCACAATTATGGGCTTATCTCCTTATGTTGAAATTATGCCTTCAAAAAAATAGGAGGTCTCCCAACTACAATATCACCTCCGATTTTGTAAAGACATACATAGCACGATGCCGGTACAGTTAAAAATGACAGATTTGAAGTACCCACTCCACTCCACATCACTCACTTCATTCTGCAATACTTATTCTATTCCATCAACCTACCCACTAAGTTACTGCCTTATGTATAAGAAGGAAGTGTAGAAAAGAGTCAAGTTTTCCTTATCACTAACTTCATCGTAGTCATAAAGTTTTGTGGACGGAAAGACCGACAAACCGACATACCGACACACCAAGTTACTGTTTTATAAATAAGAGAGAAACAATTAGCTGTGTACGAGCTATCACGAGAAAATCATTTATTGATTT